CCTGCCTATGCAGGGGGTCGGACTCGATGATCTATTGAGGTCCCTTCCGACCCTAGCATCTATGAATCTATGAATTAGGGTGCATACTTAGAAAGATCTCATCTCTGTCTCAAAGAATTGCAAACACTAAACTTAAAACAATTAATATCCAGGTCAGTCTGACCTTCTAGAGGAAGAATTTAGTTTGAATATAGGTACTTTTCTTTAAGCTGCTATATAAAAATTGATTTGTAACAATCAATTATGTGTATGAATTGATGTTGACTTGGGGTCCAACATAACTCCAAGTGAAATCCCTTTCTTTACACTGAATTTAGTGACTGTTGAATCATAGCCTGAAAAGGGCCATATAGCTCTTCCCTCAAATATGTGAATGTGACTTTCCTCAGTCACTAGTTGCTGCATACACACCTTTAAGAGCAGAACTGGACTGGTGATTTTTAACATTAGTGTGTGTGATTCTGGGATGTGTGTGAAGTTTGCTCTTCCACACTGCCAGAGGTTTGTTTGTTCTTTCATGATAGGTTTCGGTGTTCTTTTTAGCTGACATTTTTCTCTGGTCTACTGTGCCTGAGCTCTAGAAGGTTTTTCATACAACCATTCCTGGGCGTGATCCAACTTCTTTTCTTCTGAACTTTAACAATTGGGTTTTAACAAACTGGTTTGTAATTATGATATAATTACTAATTACTAGGCCTGTGCGAAGTGGCTAGTATTCGATTCAGATTCAGCCGATTCAGGGAACAGTGATTCGAGTCAGTGATTCGAATCACTGTCCTCATTCGATTCGGCCGAATCTCCGAATCAGCCAGGCCCTTCTTGCGCCCCTCTCCCAGCCCGGCAATGGCTGCCCCACCTGCCCCAGCTCCCAGCACTTGGGGGGAAAAAAGAGCCCCAACTCAACGGGTGCTGCCAAGTGGGGCGGGGAGGGGGGAATCCTTGCTGCCCCATGCTGCATGGGGGGCTCTGCCACAAGCCCTCCGACGCCCCCCACGCAACGTGGGGCAGCGGGGGGGCAGCAGGGTTTGCCCCCCGCCTAGCAGCACACGGTGAGCAGGTGAGCACCAGGGCTTTTTTTTAAAGTACCGGGAGCTGGGGCAGGCAGGGCAGGCCCCCCATGGTCCCCTCCCCCAGCCCCCCTTCCTGGAGCTGCCTGCTGCAGCCACTGGGGACTGCCCGAATCATCAAAGCTCTCTGAATCTTTTCCGAAGATTCGGAGATCTTTGAATAGATTCAGACCTTTAAAATGGTCCCCTGATTTGGTTTGAATTCAGAGATCTGGCCACTGAATTGGGCCAAATCAAATCACCACCTGAAGCTTCACACAGCCCTACTAATTACCCAAACCTAAAAACCGTTATGTTATCTTAGTGATTAAGTTTCCTGTGTCATAATATTCTACGCTCCATATATTGTGGAAATAGTAGGGAAAACTGAAATCTCTGACCTGTCATTGCCCCAACTACAGTAAAATGCAGCATGTAGCACAGAAGCATTTTTCTTCTTGGACTCCTCTCTACAACATGTCTATCAGTGTCAGAATTGGAAGATGTTATTGGGGATTTTAAGTGTCTCTTACTAGATGTGAATATTAAAAATGGTATAAAGATAGGTTGACTTGTGCTGCCTGTGAATCTGACTGGCTTAAAGGATAAATGCCATTCTTTTTCCCTGCTGCTCTTTTTTCCTGATAGCTGAAAGCAGACTATAATCTGCTAGAACTAGTAATTGTGTGCTCTTGCTTCATTGTCATTGGCTTCCATCTCTTCTGAACTAGAAAAAGATTGCATTGGGCAACAACTAATTAGATTCCATTGTAAATTATCACCTGTGGCCATGGAATAAAATAGATGTAGGTGAGTCATGCAGAACAGACTTTTTATTTAAATATTGAAGGTTTTGGGGGGGGAAGGGTGTTTTAAGTAATTTCCTGTCTTGCCCTGATAAGAGTGAGTGGAAATGGTTTGCTGTAAGTGGAGAGGTGATGTTAACATTCACAACCTCTGGTGAGGCAGTTTCTCAGGATTTAAGGTGCTAGCATTGGGTTATACTTATCTTCTGAAATGAATCATGGGTGAAATTCCCACAAAGCAAGGGAATTACAGAAGGACAATATAATTGTGCTGGCTAGTGTGCTTGGGATATAATAATTTTGAAACTTTTCCTCAAGCCATTCTGGAGACCTTGAGCTTGACTGTTCTGTCTTAAAGTAGTATATAAATCATAAGGAACTGTACTGAAATCAATGGTGTATTGGTTTTATACCAGCATAAAAGAGGTCAGAATCAGTCATTTGGTCTTTAGCCACACTCAAAGTCTTGTTAAGATAATTATAAAATGTCCAGAGTCCACTCTGCCACAAGAGCAGTTTTAATTTCATTTCTGTTGAACTGCTGGTTCTAAAGATAACCTTCAAATGTTAAGTAAGCCTATCTCAATGCAGAGCTATGTTTCCTATTATTCAAGCAGGTTGGAATAGAAGCTGTAAGAAAGGGTGACTGACCTGTTTCATTTCAGTAGCATGTGTGCTCTGAAGCCTAATGATGACAACTGAAGTACTTGTTAATTCTCTTCTTTTAATGGCATAGTCCAACTAATATTTATCCTATCTCTGCCTAGCTGATAAAGCCTCCAGCTTCTTTCTGACATCTTCTACAAGGCAGTTTTGTAGCTAATAGAACTGGCAGTACTAAATAGGGAAATGTAAAACAAATTAATTTAAATGTAAATAACATAGGAGATACTATTGTAACAACAGTTATTTGAAGTGACTGTAGAGGCATTTTCATATCTAACGGAAATAAAAATCATCCCTTTCTTAAAATCACTTCCCACAAGCTACTGCCAATTTCTAGTCATCTGTGCTAGCATTTCAAAGAACTCAGGGTGCCTTGCTATAGGATTTGGAGGAGTACAGCATGGCTTTATTATGCCCCTTCCACAACAGTTGCTGTAACTGAGCTTGGATAAACTGTTTTTAATTATTGTGCAGTGATTCTGATTGCACTTACTATGATGGAAAACCAGCCTAACTCCATTAACTTACTTCATATTCCCACTTAAGTAAGTGGGAAAGTTAAATGTGCTACACCCACTATACCCAGTCCTTGAGACCAATGTAGAGGACTGCACAAGGTGTCAGGCTCATAGATGTTAGGGGGTTGGAAGGGACCTTGCAAGATCATCAGGTCCACCCCCTGCACTAGGCAGGAAAGAGCTGGGGTCAGGTGACCTCGGCAGGTTAACGCAGGTGAGCAGTGAAGGTCAGGCTGTTGTCTCTTTGCAGCTCAGCTCGCTGTATTAGAGAACTGAGGTGTGACTTGCCTTGCTTAATTGTGGCTGGAAATTGATAACTCACATTGTAAGCAGCACCTTTCATGCTTTCCTGAGCAGGTTAGATAGGAAGAAGCACGTACATATTTTTAAGGCAGTTTTGCTGAAAGGGTTTTGTCGGTAGACTGAGCTAATTGAAGGCATACAAAACCAGTTATACTGAGGCTGAGGGGAGTTTTACTACAAATCTGTCCTTTAAAAGGACACGGGCTTTGTTAGAGATCTTTTGTCCTTATTGTTTAACACCCGTTTTAAGAACATGATAGTGAAACTTCCCTCTCAGAATTATTTTATTTAAAATATGCATGTATGACTGACTGTTGGATAATTTGGAGTGTGTGAGGTTTTTTCCCCCCATAAGGAGGGGTGGGGGTTGCTCGATTGGGGACAAACAACTATGGCCTATCACCTCATTGTTGTCCCGAGAGTCTACGCCAGTAAAACTAGTGAAAAACAAACAAAAACCACACTGCATTGTTCTTATGCTCTGCCACTCAGCTATGATGACTTTTTCTCCTACTACTTTGGAAGTCACTCAGATTCCCTCTACTTTACAAGGGAGTTGCTGTGGTCACAGAAGTGGATGAAGAGGATCAGTAAGCCAAATGCCTGTCACTTTACTAAGCACACCTTGAATATGAACCTGAAACAAGTAGGTCACTAACCATTCATAGAACAACAAATACCACCTCTGGTCCCAGATTCTCAATAAATGTAAACTGGTAAGGACTCCAGAAACTGGGCTTCGGTAGTTCCCGGCAGGTAGAACTGGATGTTGTTAGAAATCACTTTGAAGCTCTCTCTTCTACTCAATGCTATGGGAGCATGCCCAGGAGGGTTACTGGAAAGCCTTCTAGAGCCTTCGCTGCTCACCGTCCTTCCCCCCAACCTTCCCCGCAGGGTTTCCCCCAAAGCTGCAGTAGAAGGGGAGGGCTCATTTTCTGAACTAACTTTCCTTAAGTGTTCCTTTTAACTCCGGAGTTGGCAACCTGTGGCCCACAGGCCAGATCTGGCCCAGAGGCAGCATTTGTGGGGGAGGGGGCCTTTGGCTGTGGGCATTCCCCCCACGCAGCTGCAGAGACACATAGTGGTGGCGGCCAGTCCTGGTGTCAGCCCATCTCTGACCCAGGGTGGGTCATTCTGGCCTGTAGCTGGTGAAGGTTGCCCGCTCCTCCTCTTACTGACAGAACTTTTCTGCATTTTAGCCCTTTAATGTCTGGGGTGTTATCCATGGAGACTGCTTGGTATTTGGACCCAGGTGGTGACCTAAAACCTTGGGGGAAGCCCTGCATTATTTTTTTTCACTTACATTTTAACATGTAAATAAATGATGAGAAATAACTGCATTTATTTCAGCCAGAAGAGCATCTTATATCAGACCTGCACTGAGTTTGAATCCTATCTAAGCATCCTAGAAGTATTGTTAGTGGGATTGTTTTTTATTTTAATAGCTTTCTAACCTCTTCCCTTGTATCATTTGAACTCGGTCATCTTACTTTTCAGTCTATGCCAAGAGGCAAATTTGCTGTCTGTTCAGTTGCCCCAGCAGGCAGCTGATTTTACAGCCACATTAAAACCCGTTATTGTTAAAACAAGCCACCCCTGCAAGAAACCTACTTGCACAGCACTGTCTGTACTACGCACAAAGAACCCCTGCTCCCCTTTTCCAACAATTTCTTGGCCCCAGTGAAAATTAGTTGGATAGAAAAATAAGGCATTTTTCTTCAGATTCAGCAGGGTTTCCTTAAGCATTTGCAATATAGTTTTGTTGACCTAGCAATTAAAAAAAAATCAAGATAGAAAGCCAAGAGAAAAGGATACTTGAGATGGAAATTTGCAAGAGAAGGCTTTTGCTGTAGAAGGTTAGATGCGGAGCTGTCTATCTCTTGCAATCCAGATGACTTAAGTCTAGCCTTCTTGTTCTTTCTTGGGACAATTCTGTTGTAAGGAGCTCATTGACTCAGCCCAAGCTGGAAATTCTCCAAGAACCAGCAGCATTATCACATTCCTTGTATTAGCTTGTTTAATTCCTAACCACAAGAGTATATCCTGCCTTTGTGGTCTCTGCAGAGAACCCCTTTTGACATCAACTGGAGAGGCATGCAGACATCCAAAGGCAGAATGTGGCTCATATACCATAAGATGTTGATCCAGCTTCTGTTGAAAAGGTTCTCACTGGCTTCAGTGTGAGCTGGAACAGCACCTCTAAAAGTGGGGAGCTTACACTGCCTCACTGAAAGCTGGATGTTGTGAGCATGACTCTTTTTTCACACTGATGAAAATCTGGAGTAACTGTACTGAAATCAGCAGTGTCATGTTGATGTAGGAGAGAACTGAGCCCACTAGATGTCGGAATGGAATATTTTTAACAGTTGCCTTCCCCAAGTAATTATGGTTGATGTAAATGTACTCAGGCTATTGTGAAAGACACTACTCAAAAAAGGAACCAACTTGCCTTACTGGAGGCCAGTGGATAATTCCTTTTTTACAACAGAAAGGTAACAATTTGCCAATTTCGTACTTCGATTCTTCTAAAAATCCGTGAAGTGCCCTCCATCCATGTTCTGCCTAATGCTGATGCCATCAGCTAGCCATTATGATGCCAAAAGCACCTTTGGACATGAAGATTCTAATCCTTTCATTGCTGCCTTATTTTTCTCTGTCTTCACTGATTGTTTAAAAATCCAAGATTTCTGCTGGGGAGAATTTCTGTCTGCAGCAACTCGGAGGTGGTCAGTAACACCCCAATTAATATTCAGTCATGGGTTTTCGTTAATTCTGCCGTGCTCTTCAGAAGAACTAATTTTTAACTTTCAGGGGTGGCAGGTTGATATTTAACTTGAAAGAAAGTCACAGGAAAAGGAATAAAATACTGCTTCCAAACTGTACTTCTCTGGGCTATTATCCATTAGCCTGTATTCAGGCAATCCCAGTTAATGGATCAGATTCTGGTATCTGTTACTCTGGCAAATTCAGAGTAAAAAGTAAGACCATTGAAGTTAGCTTGTACCTTCACCAGTGAAATCAGAATCTGACCCACTGGGAGTTTTACATAAGGATAGTAGGATTTAGCTGTTTAAACCACATCATCTTATTTCAAGATGTGCCAGAAAATACTTAAAGGAATTAATAGCATTTAGGCCTGATTCTTAAAATGGTGAAACTCCTGTTCGCTTTGGTGTGGTGGAGTTATTCCTGCATAAACCAGAAGCAATGCCACTGAAGTCAGAGGCAGTTGGCCTTCTATGCACCTGATAGATGATGAAAATTGGGCCTTTGACTTGAGTGGACCAGGACGGGGCCCCTAAAGTCAGTGACAAAATTATATTGAAATCAGTGGGAGCAGGGAAGGGATGGACGAGGACAAATATCTAAAATTTACACCGTGGAGTACATAGCTTATTGCTGTGTAGAGATCTCCATTACCATTGATGGGCATAGTGTATGTCTTCAAAGAATTTGTTATATGTCTAGTAAATGTAATGGCTTGCTTTGTTGGAAAATGACCAACAAGAATATACATCCAAATACCCTGGGCTTTACCTGTTGAAGCTAATCACTTTTAATGTGACTGAAAACCTTCAAGTTGATTGCTGTTGCTGAGAGAATGAAATCATGCTGCTGTGTTTTTTTTCTTATCATCACTTTAATTTCTTTACAAATGTGGGCTGAGGGAGGGTCAGTGCTGACAATTCAAAGGTTGTATTTTCTCTAATAAGGCTGTCCCAGGGAGGCTGGATTTTCATTGATGTCACAGTTCAGGCTTATAATAGGTTTAGACTTCTTTTTTTAAAGGCTTGACTTATTAGCCACTCTCCAAATACAGGCTTACACAAATTATTAACCTGTGTTACAACTGTGCATTCATCCTCCTTTTTATAATGTCCTCAATGCCATACTTGTAGCTTAATATATTTCTCCTTTCAAATCTTGTAAAAGTGAATTCACAGGAGTTAGACTCCCCACAGCACAAAGAGCCCAAGCAAGCCCCTTATTAAGGATTTAGTGGTGTGTGGGGCTGATACAGGTCCCTGCTAGATCAGAGTGAAAGCTAACTAGGAGTAGGCTGCATTTTTTATGATATACTCACACAAAACTTCAGTTGAAATCATTTGGGGTTGAGGGCCAGCTCTTGTAGGTCTTACTTGAGTTGAGTGAAGGAGCAGCTCATTTTTTCTTATAAAAAAGACTGACACTATAGGTTTGATTTATACCCACTTTGTAAAGGTGTGAAGGACTGCAGAGGCATGGTTCTTATCTCATTTGTGCTGGTGTAATGCCATTACCTTCAGTGGTGTTGCTCCTGATATTCACCAGAATGAGTTAAATGAAAATTGGGGTCTTATGTATATACCATGCTAAAATGGTAGTGTAAATGTAGAACTTCATATAAAAATAGTTTTCATATTTAAAACTAGACCCAGTAACAGTGTTAATAAGGGGGAAGCCTTCTGCCTGGCAGATGAAGTTCAGAGGTTCTCTTTCTTCTGAAGAAGCTCATGATGTGGGAGAACAGCTGTTATCTTAATCTGTTCTTAAAAAAATCCAGCAGAGATCTTGGATATTTTTTAATTTGTACGCGTTGCTGTATTGGCATCTAGCAAAAGAAACTTGCAAGACTCACCCTGGGAATTTACTAGTATGAGCTAGTTCTGTCCCTGCCTGGGGATGGAACACTTTCATTATTTGCGATAAGTTTTGCCCTACCTCTCAACTGTGACAGAAAATCAGGGATAAGGGAAAATTCAGTTTGCTTCTGAGGTCGAGTAGGTTGTTCTTTAAAATGTATTTCCAAGTGTGCAGTTTAATGTGGGGAGCAAAGGTGAGAAGATGAAGCTAATGGGGACACACAGAGCAATAACATTTAAGAGCAGTACTAAGGTTTTTGAATCCTAATCTTTCTGACACTTTGCTCTTGTTGCATTTGGCTGCCTATTAGTAGCTGAGTTCTAATAAAAGATACACAAAATTGATTGAGCTGTAATTACCTATCAAGGAAGAGTTGTGAGTTCAGCACACAACGTGCTACTTAGGGATTCAAAACCAGAGAAAATAGTACAATGGAAATATATATTAGGGGTAGTCTGTCTTGAGTGTAAACACCGCAGATATGTTCCATTTGAGAGGTATCGTATGAACTGTAAATGTCCACTTGCTGCACCAAACCATGGCACTGTTAACTGGTGTTTTGGGAGTGAATGAAGGGAGCTCTTCACTTAAAACATTAGTTTAGCACATAAAGCATGCATTCTATTATGTCTACCTTGCAGTTGCATGTCCAGCAAATGTCGTTAATAGCATCTGGCTGAGTCAGTACTTAAATAGGGTCTGGAAAGAATCACCCAAGTTGTTCTGCAGAATTTACAGGGTGGGAACAAGCACTGTGTCTTTAAGGGACAGAATCCCGCTGTCTAAAATGGGAAACAAAAGATGTTTTCTACAACATGACTCCATTCCAAGGGCAGTGCAGAGGAGTAACAAGTTCCCTTTCAGTTAAAGGGAAACATTCCCAAAGAAGAGTTACATGCTGGAGGACTTAGAATGCAGGTGAACTTTACAGAAAGCAAAGCAAATGGGTACAAAATGGAATGTGTAACATGGGGAAATGCTCCTCAGGCTGGAGTGAATAGATCTTGGAATCTGGGTGAGTATCCCTGTACAGGGGGACAGTTTGCAAGGATGTATTCAGCTCAAGTCCTACATATTTTTCTATTTTCAGGACTCAAATGAGATGTTAAGTGATACAATGAGCTTTCTGCACTGGGCTGAAAACCTGGAACCCCCATGTTTTCAAAGACGTGCACAAGGATTGCAGAATCTGTCACAAGAACACCTGTAACAGAAAACCAAATTTTACATGGTGTAGACTTCCCCTTAGTATAAACCTGGTGAAGTCAGTGGTGTTCCACAGAGACTAATTTTGCTCTATGGCATAAAGTGAATGACTGAACAAAATGGTCGGAGCTGGCTTCTCACCATTTGTTGGTGGTTTTTATTTTGTCACTCATTTATAATAAGAATATTGGGATTTTTTTCACCCTCTCTCTCCCTTCTGTTCATGTGTCTATTGAAGTGAGAAGTTAAGTACAATTATGTTTCATTTTAAAATGTGTCTTCACTGATGTTTCCAGTCTACCATTAGAGCAGGGGTGGGCAAAATGCGGCCCGGGGGCCGGATGTGGCCCGCCAGGCCATTCTATCTGGCCTGCGGGGCCCCTAAAAAATTTAGAAAATTAATATTTATCTGCCCCTGGCTGCCTACCATGTAGCCCTCGATGGCTTGCCAAAACTCAGTAAGTTGCCCTCTGCCCAAAATAATTGCCCACCCCCTGCATTAGAGAATTTAAACTCTTCCTTGGATTGCATCCATGTAATTCAGTTGAATTCAGTTGCTTTGGAGGAGTGTAACTCATGGTCTATAGAGTCTGAAAACTAGAAATTCTGTAATTGGCCTTATGCTTTCATATGTAACGGACCAGCATCGCCAGCATACTCTATAGCTTTGTACGGCTGAAGTGATACAAAGCAAGCACAGACTTAATTTAAACAGATGGGCCAGAGGGGTTTATAGCAACTTTCTAGCACTGGAGTGGTGCATAGTGGCTAAGGTATAGCAATGGTTTTGATACCAATTCAACAAGTTTAATTCATGTGGAAACCACTTGATTTTTTTTTTATTGTATGGTATGTCCCCTTCTTTTCACTGTTTTTGTGACCGTTGTGTTCTTTTACTTTAAGCTATGTGCAAAAATTGCTTAGATTGCAAAAAAGCCCAGAGTCCAGATGTTAATTTTTTACAGTTATGAAACTGTCTCTCAGACTTAATTTTTTTAACCAGGTAACTCATGTAGCTGGATGCTACTGACTGTTCTCCGTCATCTCTGCTGAGCACAGCCTTTGCAAAGGGAACATTCCTGTACCTTTTGTCTTGAGAGCCTTGCTACCAGAAGTAATGCTGCTATTTAACAAGCAGGCATCACAATTCACTGTGATTCATGATCACTAATTTTACATTCAGTATGCAGTTACTTAATTAAGCATTTCAAATGTTCACCAATATAAATCATCCATTCCCAAAATGCAACCTTTCTTGCTATGCTTTTTGTTAAATAAACTGCAGGGTGACTTGTGATATGGGATAACCAGATTTTCAGTCTTCCTTAAGCATGTTTTATCTGCTCAAGTATTCATTTTAAGTGACTCGCTCCCTCTGTTCTCTGAATGCCTAGAATGGACATAGTTTTACAATTTAAGTGGGGTATTCTTGATGGTTATTTTCAAAACTAAACTGTTGTTTTTTGTGCAAAAAGGAAACTAAAAATAAGTGCAACCACAAGTGGTATTTCCTAACATGGAACCAACGGATCCATCTTGATAATTCTGGTTTTCACTGGAGCAAGTGCAAGTGAAACTCCAATCAAGATGGGTTTTAACAAAATGCTGGCTTTTACTGTATTGGCCCAGTATGAGCCCTGGGAGGGCTTGGAGGGTGGTAAACCCAGGTAAACCAACCTGACTGGTTTCACATTGATGGTTTTGGCTTTTGTTTTGCTCTGACATGCTGTTTTCTTTCAGATGAAGAATCTCATGAACTTGCCTGGCTTTGGAAACACGTCAAGGGCAGGGTGCAAAACACACTAGTAGGACATGACCCTTAACACTTTTTCTAAAGAGTAGCCCTATAGGTATATAAGATAAATAGAGTTTAACAAGTGGGGTTGGCTTTTATTGTAAGTTTGGGGTGGCAGGGGGGGAGTTCAAAGTAAAATAGGGTTTGTATTGTTTGTTTTAGTGGTTGGATATGGGGATGTGGGAGTAAGCTAGAAACATCTTTCAGAAGATTTTTCTAAAGCTTTAAAATATATGCATATTCTATTGTGTAATTGTGGCATGTGGTTGTGGAAGGGGATGAATGGAAGCTAGTGGGGAAATTAGGCTGAATATTTGACGAGTGAATTGCTTTCATTTGATGTTGTCTCTGGCTGCATGTGTTGTGGAACCTGATTCATTTCCCTCCTGCCAGTCTTAGTTTAACTTGCTTATTATAAACTCCCATCACCTTGGGCCACCACAAGGCCTGTGTGCCACTTAAGCCTGATTGTTGAAGGGTTAGCTGATACACAGACTAGGACTAACCCTTTGTACAAGAATGAATGTCACCTTTTGTGAATAAAATAAATCTGTAAAAGTAGCAGTTTTTGCAGGCTACAGCCTGATATCACATGGTCATTGATGCAGTCTTTCCTCCTCTCTGTAATGTCCTATTCAGGGGAGAGGGACTAAAAATGGAAAAAGACAAAGGTTAACCCTAAAAATCTGTTCCATGCACATAAGAATGCAAGGGCTGCAGATGCCTGACTCATATTAAGATGGACTCGGCTGAGAAATCTCAATGCCTAGTAATCAGGTGTAAAACTAGAAGGCTTGAAGTGCGTGAAAATACTCCAGGCAGCATGCATGCTTTTCAGAAAGCACCTGGAAACTAATCTCATTTTAAATATCTTTCTGTGGGGCAGAGAGGATACAGCTTGACTGGCATTTCAGCATTCACAGCTGTCAAAGGAAGCACCAGTATCAGTGCTGGCCAGTTTAATGGCAGATGAAAGGGAAAAACAAACAAACCTAGAACTGCTATGTGCCTTCCCAAAGGAAAACAGTCGGTTATTCTCCTGTGACAGGAAGATCGCCCCTTCCTCAACTCTAGAGCAGACTCAAAAGTAAACTATTCTGAAGGAAGGATTTAAATATAAAATGTTCCCTACCCCCATTCCACTGGTTTTGCATCTACTCTTAAAGCCAAACCGACTGAATATTGTTGTTGTTCACTGGCATTTTGTTGTCTTTACTTGCACGTAAGGAGGAAAATTGTAAGAGGCCAAGAAGCTTCCATCCCCTTCTAACAGCAGATCTGTGTCCCCAGACAGACTGCAAAAGAATCCCCATTAAAGTCAGTTCTATGTTTAACACAATAGAAGCACTCATGTCCCTCAGCTTGACCCATAAGGCATTTATTTCCATATTCTTTGGTAATTTAAGTATAGACTCCACACTTTACATTAGGCCTTTCCCTTTCTTCAAGGATCCATGCTTAAATAATTTCCAGTGGGAGAGGCAGAGGTAAGGTTCTCCTGTCTTTAACTGTCTCTCCCTGGGTTCCAGGTGTATTTCAGTACACAAAGAAGCTGTTCCTGAGTGAGCAAACAGGACGGGCTCAGGCTCTGGAGTTTGTCCGCAAGAATGCTGCCAATGCCATCTCTATGGCTAACCTGATCATGGGACTGTCTTCCATCCTCTGCAACCTAAATGGGTATGTACTGTATTTGGGGGCCTGTTCTGACGTCACACCACTCTGTTAAGGGCTGCATAATGAGCAGGAGTGAAAGGAGGCACACAATTTCTGCCAGATATTGTCAATGCTGAAACTTCCATTCACTTCACTGGGGGAATAGCCAGTCCAATTAAGGCCACAGCTGAATTAGGAAAATATCTTGTTATCTTACTTTAAACATGCTAACTAACACTTAAGCCCTTAGTAGAGGCAGAGATGGAGTGTTTTAAAAGCAGGTTATGATTAACCCTGAACTCTAAGGCAGTAGTGTTCAATCTCTAGTCTACAGGCTGAATCCAGCCCACAGGGATGTGTTGCAGCCCATGCATCTCCCTACAGGTCTGGAAATTGGTGATGGGGGAGTGGTGGCAGTATTAATTACAGCAGCTCTGGAAGCTATGCCAGTTAATGCTGCCACTGCTTCCCTGTCACCATATTTCCTGACCTGCAGGGAGCCCTAAGAGCTGGGTGACATGGCCCGGCACCTGAGGTTGCTCTGTTGCTGTATCCAGCAGGAGGGGTTGGGCTGCCCATACCCACAGGCTAATCGCACACACTGACCCATGATGGATCCAGCCCCCAGTTAGCCCAGTGCCACTCACCAGGCCCAGAAGGTTGAGCGCCACTAACTGCAAGCAGCTGAAACAGATTACTTCTGATGCTTCCCCTGGGCCCTTTAATGGAATTATTTGAGAATTTAAATTGGGACATGATTCTGTACTGCATTATCAGTGAGCTGCTGGGGCATCTTTTTCAGGTGATCTATACAACACATGGGACTAAAGGTAGATAGGAAGGAAAAGAGGCCTGAAGAGGTTAAAAAAAAATCTAAATTTCCAGGTGGTCATCTTAACAGTTAGAAGTATATTTAAGGTTTTATCCTTTCTTGTTAGTGAGAGATTTCTCTGCTTATCAAAGTAGCTGCATAGCCACTGTAGTCCTTTTATTACCCTTTAATGATACCCAGATGCAGGCTCTGCTGCAAGAGTCTAGAACAGCCACAGCCAAATTGAAGGAGACAAACAGAAGAGTGAATAAATAGCTGTGGATGGGCCGATGTTGCACCTATGCCTAGACACCTTTTAATTTTGTCCTATGCTCCTTATTTTAATTTCTGTCTCCCCACAAGGCTTTCTTACACATTCAACTGGTTTGGTCAAGACCATGTTGTCCCAGACAAGGTCTTGATTTTTTCCCACTATTTCTTCCTCCTCTCCTCTATGATTCTCTTTTGGTAAATTCATGCTGCATTTACAGGAGTCACTGCAGTGTACTGTAGAACTGGTTCAAAATTAATTAGCTTGGGTACTTGGGTAAATTAGACACAGGGGCACAGCTTCTCACAGACTAGACTGCTACCAGTATTTAAGTTAGCTCACTCTAGACCAGCTGTAGCTACAGTGCAAATAAATCACTACTGATGCTGCCCTCCCTCTAATTCTCTATTGAAGGTGCTGTTTTTTGAGCAGTAAGCATTGAAACAGACTCCTTTAGAGGGTGTGAAATGTTTGTCATTGGAAGATGTTTAAGTGCAGATCAGACAGATACTTGGCTGGGATAGTTTAGACAGGGATGATCCTGCCTTGAGTAGTGTTTTTACTGCATGGCCTCCTGAGGTCCCTTTCACCTCTCTATTCCTGAATCTTCTGGCTGGTTCAAAGCCAAACATGTCTCCTTCCTTTAGGGCTGAACAAGGAGTTGTGTCTAAGGAGTAACACTTGCCTGCCCAAATTTCACAGTGCAAAATTTACTCCTCCTCCTCCTCAAGTTTCCCCAACAGCTTTCAGGGGCCTTGAAGACCATGTGTGCAAGAGTCTTGAGGAGCTATTTGCTGTGAGGTGGGAAAGGCTCAATACAAGACTTTGGGAAACTTCAGGCTATTATGTTGATGCAGAGCCATGCACACATAGCTTTGCAGGCAGTTGCACAGCCATGCTGTAAAAGTTACTGCTGTGGTTCCCTTTTATAAATGCAGGAACCTGTCAAAGCCACAGAAACGCTAATGCTCTTCACTCTCTTTTCCCCTCTAGGCTATACTACTGTGCTTGCTGGCTGCTCTTGATTGGATTCCTACTGGACCTAGCTGATGGAGCAGTTGCTAGGCAACTGAATGCTTGTTCAGCCCTGGGTGAGTTCCACCTTGCTGCCCTTCAGCAGTTTAAACACAGCCCCGGTTCTTGAGCCTTGCGCCCTGCAGACTGCAGTCTGCTTAGCGACTAGACTAGAAGTAAAAGCAAATTTATCCCTTGGGAAAGGGATGAACAGCAGCTTGGGAATGAAATCATCTCTGCAATCGTAAATCCATCTACACCATTTACTTGAGCCAGCTAGGAGGGTTTTCAAAGGCAGAGGTGACTATGGGCACGTTTACACGAGACTCTAAAGCACCGTAAACTAATTCTACTGTGCATTAGCACATCTGTGCTAATGTGCACTAGAATTAGTCTACTGTGCATTAGCATCACACATAAAAGACATACTGTATGTCGGCACTACTGCACAGTAGCACTGATTACAGCACATTAAGTTAGTACCTGCAATAACATAATGTACCATAATTACGGCGCATTAATGCACGTGTAGACATGCCCTATGCTAGCTAATTATTACATGTATTGTGCCTCCTATTGCTTCAGATATTCTTACTTGCTGATGGATTTGCTGTTGGTAAATATTGGGGGCTTTGATAAATATAGATCAGTTTTTTTCCAGGATAACCTCAAAGCAATCTGAAAATTTCAACTTTTTGACAGTGTCTTTCTAAATAAAAAGTTTTTAGCAAGTAGAAATTGGCACCTCAATCTGATCTATTTTTTTAATTCATGCACTCTGTTTTTATTGTTTTCTTATGTGCTTCTGTTCAGCAGCAATAAATAAATATGCTTTTCCTCAGTAATTCATGGTAAGTTGTGTTACTGCAAATGTTGAGGCCATTTTTAAGCACTAAGGATGGAATTTTATTTCCTTTTGTATGTCTCAATAGCATTTTTTTTTTGGCTGTCTAGCTGGCCCTTTTTGGCTCTGGCTTCATATTGTGCATGTGTAAGCTTGTGCCCATAGCCTGAGCATGTGCACTATGGCTACATACTAGCAGGACCCATATGCAGCTTTGTGCATGTGTACCTCAGGATAAGGCCCAGAAAAATGACAGGGGAATGAGGAGGGGCCTCCCAGGTTTAAACCCCAATAGCTGAGTAACCAGGGCACTTGTCTAAGAAGCCCATAAACCCAAGTTCTAGCCCCCCTCCAGAGCTGACTTGAACTTTTATCATTCCCAGCACAGTGCTGCAACCCTCACACTACAGACTAGACATTATTCAAGCACCCCAAAGTACTCCTTTTGAAGCTGAGCCACTGCCACCGTCACTTAGTCATTGGATAGAGGAGAGGGTGGTTCTCCCACCAGTGCAAGCAAGGCCTCGAGCTAGAACTCAAGGCCTCTTCCTTCCTTCCAGGCCATGATCCATCTCACTTCCTCCTGGTTCCACATAGCTCACTCTCGGCCATCTTCCCTGCAATGGCCTGCTGTAGGCCAAAACCTGAGAATAAATTTGACCACCTCAGTTCATAGGCTGTTCTAATGGCTAGTCACCCTTTCTTTTATTAAGAAATTGCTGTATATCCATTTTGACTAGCTTCTGCTGGCCACTGTGCAGCCTTAGTTTATCAGCAGCACCCTAAGAATGCAGCCTAGTGTCCAGGGTGGTTGCCCCACACAGGGGCAGTGGCAATTGGGGGCCACTGCCATCACAATTGCACACCTGTGACAAAAGCCACTCTTTTCATCCCCTACCTTTATTGGCACCCACGTTGGTTGCCTCTATTGCCCCACCCTAATTATGCCACTGGCTGTTAGAAATATCCTTGTATACGTTCTTGGTGAACCTTTTCTTATGAGCCATGTCACAGTGGTGGTGAGGGTTTTTTGCACACATGCTGTTAACTATATGGATGCAGTCCATTAAGAGTCCTAATGACTAGAACAATGCTATTCAACCTCATTAGCCTTAAGGAACCCCTGAGAAAATGCCAGCTCTTAGTTGTTACTTTCTCTTTGACCACAAAAATACCAAAGCAATTTTTCTGTTGAAAAGAACTCAGAAAGACCACAACAGGCCAGAATGGTTTTACTGCTCTGGACTCCTATGTAACATGTCTGGGTTTATCTTTTGAATCACGTTTGCTCACCTAATGGTGCTAACAGTGCGTGGCACCTTGCAGTGCCCCTGAAAGGATCTCAGGGCACTCCCAGAGTGCTGCAGCAACTGGCTGAGAGTTGCAGGACTAGAGCTAGACTTGGCTCTTGTTTCTAGGGTGTAGTGTTGGCCTATGGGCACCACCTGCCTGCTACTGTCACTTGAGGTACTGTGAGCAGGTGGCATGACTGTTGACCAGCTGTATTTCTCACTAACTTGCAGGTGCCAAATTGGATGACTTTGCTGACTTCACCTCTTTTGGGCTGGCTACTGCTCTGCTGCTGCAGGCTCATGGGATCCTGGATGGGTTGCTATCTATTGCCTATGTGCTTGCAGTTTTTGCTCGGTTGTGCTTCTTCTCAAGTGGTAAGTATATGGTCTACCATTATCCTTCTCAAGAAGAGGCTGTAATAGCATTGCATATGTAGGGCTCAATATAGCTGCAGGTGAGGGGGGAAAAATACACTTTTGTAGGGATCCTTTTCATGTCCCGGGGCCTGCCATGTCCATATGCTTCATCACTCCTGACTGGAACATATATCCTGACTGGAGGCAATCTTGTATTGCTGCGCATGATAGCCCTGGTAATGATCCTATTCATGGTTGATCAGGGTTTCTATCCCCACGACAAAGTCCTGGAGTCCCAGCCCTGGAAGAAGGTGGTCTACGCAGGGGGTGAGTTTTAAAAATAAGCTAGTTCAAGTCCTTGGCTCTTATTGTCTATTGCTGATACTACACGGTAGGTTAGTGGTTCTCAACCTTCCTAGCAGAATCCTTTCTGAGACTGAAGGGACGAGATCTGGCAAAGTGTATGTGTAATTCCTTTGGTTCTGTTAAATTGTATCTGACTGACTTCTCTGTACTGCTTTTCTGTTGCAGGAATCCTGATGGTTTTGTTCTCTTCCTATTCAATAGCATCTCTCTACTATCTCATTTGGTCATCATCTTACATCTTCTTCCCAGTCGCCTTGTGGAGCAGCAAAGTTTAATTGCATGCTCAGTATTATGAAGATGACAACAGCTTCATATCCCACCACAACAACCTGCCAAAGGCAACACCTGTGATCTAAATGAAGACTGATTCTGTGTTAACATCCACCAGTTGCCTAATCCTTAGTAAAGCTTTCATCTTCCTTACTTGAAAGTAACAGCTATAGGATGTATTATCACCTTGGCTAACACTTTAAGACTGGATTGATAGGACATAAAAACACAGCCCTTGCAGGTTCCCTTCCTCTTGTAAAGTGCTCATGTAGTGCCTGTTCTCTGGCACATGTAATAACTAACCCTTGAAGTTTAACTCCGGTTACTGGGGAAACTTCACTTAAACTTGCTGTGGTATTTATATAGATATGAGTGTACATATTCATGATCTTAAACCTGTACTTTGGTTTTTAATTTTATGAGAGTCATTTTCAGAATTAGTGTCCTTTAATCATGAATTTAGAAAGTTGTTTGCTGCGCCTGGAGCTGTAGGGCAATAGACCACCTGCCCCCCCCCACCTCCATA